CGGAATCGACTACATGAAAATATAGCGATTATAAAATTGTCGCATAGCTGCGATTTATAAATTGTCCATTACACAATAGTGTTGATTTATTATCCAATGAATGATTGTGGTTGTATAATTTGAATTTGTGTAAGTATGTATGTATGTGTGTGATGATGGTCATCACAAGTGCATTTCTTGTTAAATGTACATCTTATTCCTACACGTCAACGTAATTACATTACTCCGGAGACGCAAAATAGTTCATTCGTTAAAGTCAGTGCATTTCTTTAAAAATGTGCTTCATATTCGTCAATTCCATTTTTTTTCATTCAGTTGGACACTCTTTAGAAGCTACGAAGGTATAGAAAAGGTTAGTTTTTCATAATCTTCGCTAGTATTTATTACATATTAACCCTTTGTAACTTGAATGTAATTGTTTTCTTTCAGCAAAAGAATTCACATCCATCACATGCAGTCATTTCAATACGTCAGTTTTTCCATGAGGTTTCTGGCTTAGCTAGGACCCCAATTTTCAATTATACAGTTGTTTATAAATATATACCATTGAAATAGCATGCAGATATGATACAAATATAAAATACGATTGGTACAAAGTAAACACCCCTATTGCTTGAGGATTAGTTGATTTATATGGGAGCTGGATTAGTTATTTATCTGTCTGCACATGAGGGCAAATTTGATACAAGGTTAGTTTATGCGGCATTTTATGCGTACATTAGGGTAGAAACAAATTTCCCTGGTCACTTCCCTTTTTTCTTTTTTCTGAAGGTCTTATTAGAAATTGCTCGGTCTACCTCACTACTTCTCTTTCTAGGACCTCAGCTAAGAGATTGCATAAGGCTGCAGTATACATTGTCGTTAGCAAGAGGAGACAACTCAAAGTGTGAGCTACGTATTAAGAAAGTCAAAATCGGTTGCAGAAATTTATAAAAGACAACAAAAAGTGAAGCATAAAAATCCGAAGGCGCATATAAATATTCAAAAACGTCATCCAATAAATAAACAAAATATTTTTTAAAAATAAGAAAATATACCCAGAAACAAAAAAGGATGCTGAACTGGTATGTAATATACATGGTAGTGAATGCTGGAAATCTCCTCACAGATAAAGAAGAGACTTGAAATAACGTGATTCCGCAGTTGATAATTGAGAATACTATGAACAGAACATGTGAGTAAAGGGGAAATATTAAAGAAAATATTAACCACTATGAAACTGCCACTTATCAGGAAAAAAAGAAATTTCTAGGAGAAATAATGGGGAAAGATGGCCTGGAGAATTTAATACTTATAGGATATATTGAAAGCAAGGAAAAGTAGCAAATAAACCTAAACGAAAGTGATGACAAAGCAAGGATACAATAGACGTGTTAAAGGGCGTTAAAATTACTTAGAATATCAAAGGACAGAAAGCTGTCGAGAACCATAATCTCCCACGTTCTGAAAGAAACTGGGACATAAAAGAAGATAAATGACACACAAAGAAGTTATTCTGTTTCTCCTGTTCTTTGTAGAGATAGCACATGGAACTGACTACGAAAGAAGGCATTTGTTTTTGTTTTTGTTTTCTAGCGGACTTTCTTCTGTTCATTTCCAAAGCGGAAAGCAATAAAAATTAAATTTTACAGTCCTTAAAAACAGCCTTTAACCTTAAAATATTGAAAACCGTCGCTGTCTTATTGTTAACTAAAAATACTAACGCGAAATGCACGTGAACTTTTTTTTTCGGTTCGCAGTGATTACTCGACACCATATGCAAGTTTCCAGACAAACCTGCGACAAGCGTATCTATAACTCGAACAAACAGACACAAAAATTGAACTTTACGCTGAGTACAATGAATCTAAATCATGACTCATTGATTTATTCTTTAACTTATTGACTACAATTCTTTAACTTGTTAGATATAAGTCACTGATTAAGACTTTTATTTCAATTTCAACATCTTTCATTACTTCAATTATTTAGGAAAAACCATCAAAAGTTTTTAATATCCGTTGGGTTAGGGTTGTTTCACCATTTTTTATTCATCACAAAAATCTTTCTCTTAATTAATGTCTTCAAACCAAATAATACCTTTCACTTCTTGTAGTATAATTCTTCGAAAAGTTGCGTATGCAAATTAAAGTGCAAAGTCTACATTTTAAAAAATTTTAAATTAAAACAAAAGTCCTTTCCCTTGTTGGTGGTGTCGGATAGTTGGTGTTATTACGTTGTTTTTTTATGTTGTTGGTGGTGATGATGTTTGTTTTTTTGTTTGTTTTGTTTTGTTTTGTTTTTTTTTTTTTTTTTTTTTTGAGTGGGCGGGGAATAAATAAATAAATCAAGTTAAATGGCCGTACGCATACGTTAGGGACCGCTGAGTAACTAGAATTGCTGCATGCAATTCTGCAAAAGACAATAATACAGTACACCTTGTACTTGGACCATTTAAACGCCAACAAACGGACCGTCGAACATGCAATTTCCTGGTTAACTTTTCGTTGTTGAGTAGTTTCGTCTGATCAGCAGAAAGGTTTTATTGATGAAATTATCACTCTTTGTTTGGATGCAACTCTAGAAACCAATGTAGCCTCGTGTGATCTCTAAAAAAACGGTAACTAACAAAACGTAAAAATTAGAGAGCAGACAACTTTCACACAAGAAAAAAGTGTTTAAATGTCTAAAAAATAAAATAAGCAAGCAACAAATGACATCTTTTAAAGAACGCTTTCCCTTCATATTTGAAACAAATTCTCACATGCACCAAAAAGTCATTTTAGTACTCATGGGAATTTGTTTCAAGTATGAACCGAGTCATGTGTTGTCGATGTTGGTGCTCACGAATGCACATCACTCATCACTGCAAATAACAGAGGAAATAGTTTCACAAAGCAACCAGGTTTATGTTTTTGTTTTGTTTGTTTTTTTTTTTTTTTTTTTTTTTTTTTGTTTGTTTGTTTGTGTGTGTGTGTGTGTGTGTGTGTGTGTGTGTGCGCGCGCGCTTTTCGTGGAGATCAGATACTTAACTTGTGGACCACGATTTAAACTCCTGTTCTAGCTTTTGAAACGTAAACTAGGTTTATTTATAAAAGATAACTTTACTTTCCGGTCCGTAAGCCAAATAAAGAAAAAGATACATTCAATTAATTCTTTGAGCTTGAGCATGATTGAAAACTTTTAGTTTTTTGTTGTTGTTTTTTTTTTTTTTTCATCCGTCTTTGTAAATAAAGTTACGCCATTAAACAACTAAAAAAGAGGGTGAGGGCTTTCGTGTATTAGCTATTAAAAGACGATTCTAAATTTAAAGAACAAAGAGGGAAATAAGCAAATGAAATCACCATTCTGGAGCATTCAAACCGCAACAACAATTATTTATTCAATTTAAACAACAAAGTTTCCGAATTGTTTTCTAGTTTGATCTTATTTTTTTTTTTTTTTATGAGGGATTTCCTTGTTCTTCAAACTTGTGAACAACTTTTACACCCCACTTTATCCACACGTTTGTTTTAAATGGTAGTTTATATTTCTGACTTTCCACAAAGGTAAAAATGATGTGACAAAGTGCCAGTGTTTTAAGTAGTTTCACAAGCGTATGCGTAAACAAAGATTTCGCAATTCCCCCTGACCTTTTGTCACACAAGGGCATGAGGAAAAATCTACGACTCTTCCCATACAAGCTGAAGGTGAGGTATTGTATCGGCGTAAAAATTTCCAATCAAACTGATGACAATGTGCCCTGTCTCACCTGCAGAAAAGACAAAGCTGATCCCAGCCTGAAGAAAGGGCGAAAAAAGATATTTTTGCGTGTATGTGTGTGTGTCTATACAAATTATAAACAAATGCATCGCAAATGAAAATAAGAGAAAAAAACTCTCTGTCACGTTCATTTTTATTTTAAATCTACATTCTACAAGTTCTAATTTAAAGATTCAATAAACTTTTAAGAAGACTCTCTTTTTTTCTTTTTGGTAAATATTTTCATTGAAGTGTTGTGAAATAAATCCCCACGGTGTTATTCAAAAACAACAGAAAAACCCTTCTTGTTTAAGCTGGTTGGGAAAGAAAATTAGAAGTGCATTTTCTGGGCTTATGGAATAAACATTCAATAAAAAAAATGATTACGAAAGAAAGGTGACAAGCAAAAAGGCAACCGTACAAATTATGAAACTGGTGAGTTGAGCTGATAGGAAGTAGTAAGGAAAGCGTTACTTAGTGTAGCTATACAATTTAGGTAATTTTAAGTAATAGTAGTCATAATACTAGTAATAATAGCACCAGAAATTACTACTAACCTGCAGAGCAGAAGGAATAACAAAAAAATGAATGTAGTAGAAGTAAAAACAAATGTGAAAGTATGCAAGGTAGAAGTAAGAGGTGAAATGATTATCTACGTGAGTAGGAGTGAAAATGATAACTGATTAAGGATAAAGACAGAGGAGGAGGAGTTGAATGGTTATGATGGTAGGAGGAAATGGACATGAGTAGGAGTAGCGAATGTAAACATAGAGGAGTACGGCACACAGAGTAGGAGGTATGATTGTAATGATATTAGGAGGACTAGACGAAGGAGGAGGCGCACTGCCTTGTGCCTACAATGAATGGATTCAGTGTTCTTTACTGTCTTGCAGCTGGTGCAGCTGCCTTTTCGTTATGGAGTTGTGATGTGGATATTACAAGGAAAGCAAGAGCAGCCAGGGAGGCGGCTGATGCTACACTAAGGAGTAGATGACATTGCTACTTCTCTACTTGATGGTCGCCTCGTTGCAAATAATTACACACTCACAGGATAGGAGTATTTTTACACAGCTACCACTACTACGAGGACAACGGCTACTACTTCTGTTTATTATTTAGTGGAGAGATTTGCGACAGGGGTGCATCAGACTGGCTGTCAATTTCTGTAGAAGACTATTTAAGTTGTGGATACTAGTATTTTGCAGTGTCGGTGATTAAAGTGGATTTACTGGATGTGCCCGGTAGCCGCAGGAGGGGTCCTACCTCAGGTTTGCTGTGGGATGAGGCCCATCCACCTGCGCCGCTGCCCTCTATTGTCCTGCCTTGGTCTTTGGATGTTGGCCCTAGGGGCCATCTGTAAGTACACGTTTCTCTTTTTAAAACACCATCGCATCAAATAAATATCCGTAACGAATCAACACATCGCTGTCTTTTCCCTTGAAAAAAAATAGATCCTTAATGTTGTTGTATGCTAGTATGCACTATGAACAAAGTTAATGTTTCTGGAAACTTTCAGAGTAAAATGCTTATTATTATTCTTAGTTATTTAATTTAGCGTTTGATCACTCATAGATCTGCATTGGATGTAAAAATCAACTGTAAGCATTGAGCACAAGTTTAGTGATTTTTCTTTCCCAGGACATGCCACCTCCCGAAAAATTATGCATGTTTGTAAACAATGCAAACATATCTTTTAGGGATTCCTGATTAAAAAATAAAAATAATAAAAGGTTTTCGTTTCTATTACCTCTTATGAACTCACAATTTTTTTTAATTTTTTTTTAAGCAAACTTTTTGTTTTTCCATGAAAATCTGCGTTTTTCAAACAAAAGTATAATTAATTTCACATCGTCGAACGTTCCAAATTAACAACTTTGAAAATAAGTCATTTATTCTGGATAAATTTTCAAAACTGTTTTTTTTTTTTTTTTTTTACAACGTTGAATAAGTTGGCATTGAGCCGACTGTCGTTTATCTTCATATATTTTTCTTATTAAGTTTTAACTTTAAGCAATAATAATCACTATCAAATTATCAATCATATTTGAAACATATTTATAAAGACAAGAGACTCAACATAATTATTACGACGAATATCCATAAAACTCCTTATCACTTCAACAAATAGCATAAAACTGCATAGTATCAAATATCAATGCTTTTCTCTCCGTACTACTACTGCTGATTGTGTACACGATGCACAAGTGGAGGAAGAGTGTAGGTTCATCAAGACAAGAGCACACACGCACATGCATACAAGTTAAACTTATCAGACACGTGTACTATTGATAGTACCAGGGAGTGCTGAAAAGATCTCGGTCCGACCTACTTCCCAAAACCAGTCTTCTGATGCTTCTTCCAGGTACTGATTTTTTTGTTATATAGGCCGAGTCGAGAACTTTTCAGCACCCCTTAGTAGTAATGTACATGTTTCTTAACTTAAGTCGACTCTTTCTCTTTTTGAACAGTCAATAATACGCTCAAAGAATACCATACTGACTTGCTGTAACTAACGTAAAAAAAACATTTCGTTTTTTCTGTTTTAACACCTGCAGACTACACGTGATTAACACTAACTAGCCATCCTCACCATCGTTGTTGTCTCTGCCTTCTCAACATCATTCATCCTTATTTGTGAATTTTGTTTTCTTTTTTCTTCCTTTTTAGCACATGTATCTAAGATTCTGATATTCAAGCCTGATTAATACTTTCAATCGGTTAAATTTTCTGACATTATGAAAACACTTTAAAAACTTTATCATAGAGAACTATTTTGTTCCTTATTTCAAAGGTTGTTGTTAACAATTTGATTTAAAAAGGAAACCAAAAACAACGCGTTGAAAATTAATTTGCCCCGCAAGACAGCGAGCAAATATTTAAAATTTTATAAAAACAACTTCAGGCTTGTCAGTATCATCCATCGATCCTAATTTTCATTTTGATAAGTAAGTTAATTATAGTTTTAAAAATTAGTTTAACAAATTTCTTTATATTTTTAAACAAATGCAAAATAAAATCGTTTTTCTCTTTATGAACAATGAAACCGAAACCGTACGCAAACATTTTTGTCAATTTTCATTATTTTGCTGAGATAGCTTTTAAAAAGATTATAAAACTAGGTTTATCTGGAAAATTAACGGACGGACACTATTCTGCCTTTCGCCTCCCACTTTTCTTTTACGACGAGATATTTTAATAATGTGATAATATTTTTGTTTGCGAAATAAAGGAACGACATTTGTTTTCTTTCCTTTCCGCAGATTTGCACATCAATCGGTCGTCACTGTTGATCTCTGCTTCACATTTTTGTGTATTTGCAGTTCATAAATTGTGTTTATTTGCAATTCTGATCATTCATCAATAATCACAGATCTCTTCTTCATCTCAAATTTTCTTTACTTTTTTTTTGTAAGTGGGACATGTTTTTAAATAAATTTAAAGAAGCAGAAGAAAAATACGATAGATAAAAAAATAAACTAAGAAATTCATTTTTTATATTTGAATTTACAATTTAACATTTTCGATTTTCTAAGTAAAAGGAGGCTTCTTTCCTCAAGCAATTCAAGTTCATTCACATTGCACATGTCATTTTAGGTGCCTTTGATTACAGTATTACTTTTATTTTAATTAGTTAGATCTCTAATTTTTGGTTTGTGTCGAAGACTAAGATAATATGAAAAGTTGGAAAAAAATAAACATCAGCAAGTGCATCTTTCTGCAACTAGAGATTGATTAGGCTTCTGTGCAAAAAATAAATAAGGTCATTGATAGCCTTTTTTGTTGTACCTTGATTTAAAAAAAAATAAAAGTAACATAAATATTTAAAAAAAAATAATCATTAATTTAATTCGTTTATAACTATATTGGCGTTGCACTGTGTCCATAAAATTCGACAATAGTGTTTTTGGTTTGATGAGCCGATTTAAAATTCTACATTTTTTTTACATGATGAAAAATAAGTGCACATGAGGAAGAAGCGTGTCGTATTTCGTATGTGTGCTGAGAATGACCCGCCATCCAGCAATACTAAGAAGTACGGTATATCTTCTTTACTTTACGAGTTTACTTTCTTCCATAGACATGCCACCACCTTAAAATGTTTTCAACACTAAACAGCAGAAAAGACAGCTCCACTGACGGAGCTACTTAAATCAATTCCCATGTGAGTTGTTGTTGCTCATGTTCTAGTTTATTTTTACTTCTTTAAAAATTAAATGCATTCGGTTTTACTTTTACTTTTAGTTTTATGATATTTTTGTTTTAATACAAACTGATAGGAGTTACAAAAGTAAAGGCAGAGTTCTTGAAATTGACTTGCAGAATTTGGTTTAGGCGGTGTATTCTTCGTGCGTTTCCAAGGCATTTAAAATTGTAATAATTTTCGGTAATTATTGCATATGTTAGTTAATGTAATCTTCTGTAAACCTATGTATAATTGAATGTTAGAATTTTGATTTTAGTGTTTTAAAATGTATGCAAAAGCAACTTCTCAAATGAAATATCACTGGAGGTAGGAAGTTCAACATTTTAAAAAGTCTGTAATTATTTGATTTCATTTTCAGGAAATAGGAAATACCAAGTTGGAATTTCACTCTCGTAAGAATAGCAAAAAATATTTTCTGACTTTTGCCTTGAGAAAAAATCCGGCCAATAAAATAAATGTAAACATTTGAATTGATTCAACACTTATTTTAAAATCAACATCTAAAACTTGATCAACATAACTTTTTTTTTGTCTAAGCAATTGAAATAATTTAGAGTTCAAGCAAGCTTGACTCCAACAAACTGAAAATGAAACATTTTTTAATTTAAAACAAAACTATGGTCTGATATTTATTCCAAGTTTTTGTTTCTTTCCTAGTGGAGGATTTTAAGATGTGAAGTGAAAAGATGAAAGTTCAAAATGTAAAAATCTATGTCCTCCATAAAAAAATTATTTATATTTTTATGGCTGATTTATTTTTATTGTTTTGTTTGCGCTTCATAATTTTAATTTATTATGAAATAATGAAAAAAAATAACTTTTTATTATAAAAAGGAATAGTGAGATTAACGCACTTTTTTTTTATATTGAATAGATTCTATTTAATAGAATACTAACTTTTTCAAAGTTAGTTTTTCATTACAAATCAATTGTGTCCATCCTCACAGTAAACTCCCAAAAAATGTCAGTTTGGAATGCTATAAAAAATTCCAGTGAAATCTTTCTCTTTTTTGTAGGTTTTGGGTCACTTTTGGTTATTTTATGTTCTGGAACCAGGTGTACCCATGTTTTCTTTGAGAAGCTGAGGAAGTTCTTTATCCTATTATTTTTGTTACTGCGGAACAGAAAAATTCTTTTTTTTTTGTCCCATTTTTGTGTAGAGTGTGTAATCAAATTTAAGGTAACACTTACAGAGCTGTTGTCTAATTCACAGGGTAATTCTCTCAATTAATTTAAAAACAAACATGTTTAACAAATGCAAACATAACTTTCTAATATAAACACTTTCTAAGCCAGAAGTGATCAAATTTGATTTTGTAGCTAACATTTTGACCCATGTAATTATTACATTGTAATAATATTCAAAAATCTTTTGTTTACCTAATCTGTTGATTCTCTTAATAACCAATATACTTTCAATGAAAGATTGCCAGATAACAATGGGGAAAAATTCATCTGATTTTGTCATTAGCACAAAATATTATGCAAGATTAATAGACATAGAATCCAATCTCCTTCACATTTAGTTTCTTAAACTAAAAAGTCTACCATATCCTTATGAAATGAGTGTGTGAAAATATAATGTATAGATAATTTCTGATCTAATATTCTTCTGTTAAATATTTAAAGAATATTAGATCTGAAAGAATTTAAAGAATATTAGATCTGAAATTATCTATTACTAGATGCCTTTTTTTCTGACTCATTTAAATCTGACTTCAAATCAAACCAACAATGTTTTTAACTATTTCCTGCACATAAGTTATTTAAATTATAGTAATGATTACCAGAGAAATGAGATGAATGGCAAAGAATTGGGAATGTTATCTGTATCTAAGCAGGTAAACATTCCAATTTCTCATTTAAAAAATAAAATTACCTTAGAGAAAATAAATTAGTTTTGTACTTATAAAATACTCGATTCTCAAGTAGTGCAAATATTTCACATTTTAACAAGAATTGTTTATTAATTTACACCAAAAGTAAAGCCTATGGCTGTGGCAAAAAGTGATAAGGAGATGTGTAGCACCTCACTGCCTTAAAAATCAACATTCACTTTTATATCTGGGCTCAAATACTGACAAATGTACAACCATCTCAGCAGGCCAAGAGACATTTTTTAAGTCAAATGGTATAAATATGTCCTACATTT